GGCTTATATCCTCTTTCACCACAAGTCTGATCCGCCACTTAGCACCAATCAGCTCACGGCGCACACCTGATTGGCCCATTACAAAGGGCAGTTTTTGGGCTCTGAAGAGCAACTGCCGCCGCTGACTTATGGGGGGCAGCAGGGCGAAAGGACGCGCTGAGGCAGCTGGTTCCGGTAACGGGCTGACTCGCCACCGTCACGGTCGTCCATGAAGACCACAGGCCTCTCACCCCTGCACGCCTGTGAAAGCCGTGGGAGCGTGGGGCTCCCCCGGGGCACAGAGTGAAAGCCGGAGCAGACACAGCAGGAGTGCTCACCACAGGGTTTCTGCCCCAAGAGAGAAAACATTCAGGATGTGGAGAAAGCGTCACCTCTAACAACAGATTGTTTCTCCTTTTCTTCCGGAGGCTCCCGGGCCATCCGGGTCCCCCCGGGGCGGCCAGCCCAGCAGGCGGAACCCCTCACTGCCTGGTGGGAGAGTTGCTGGCGCTGCCCCTGGAGATACTGAAAGGAGCGCAAACTGCCTGGCAGTTTGTGGTTGGGTTTCTGGGTCTGTTAGGGGAGGCATCATGTTGCCTGCCCCAGCGGCACTGTAAGTCCCAGGCTGCCGAGATCAGACTTCCTGAGCAGGGGCGCCCCTGGAACTAGGGGCGTATCAGGGAGGGCAGGCAGGCCCGCTCCCCGGCTTCTGTGGCCCCACTTGCTCACTGCTGGGAAGGGGATTTGGAGGAGACACGAAGGGGAGACACGTAGAGACGCTTGGAAGAGACAAGTGGGTGAGAGACAATGGGGAGCTGATAGTGTTATAGGACAGGGAGAGGGGCAGCCCAAACCCCGCAAACCTGCCTATTCTAAATGGGTTCTGCCATCCGCCGCATCAACACAAAACATAGGAGACTTTAATGGGAAGGAACTTTAATAAAAACTAGGAAACAATACAGGTAAGGCAAAGAGTCTAGTTTCTAAATGAAGCACCCAAAGTTACCCGTCCCCTTGTGGGTGAAAGTCCATCCATATGGGATCCGCCCAGTGCAAGGCCCCAAGCCTGCCACAAGTCTAAAGCATCTTCCAGTGGGGACCCACAGAAAAGGATCAGAAACAACCAGACAAGCCCGGAAGGAAAAGAGCAAAATCAACATCAAGATAAAAGCTGCCGGGGCCTCCCTGGTGGCGCAGCAGTTGAGCGCTGGGTTGTGAAGCTGCCCGCAGCCTCTGCGGCGCCGGTTCGATCCCCGGCTGCTCCCTGGCCACCGGAGGAGGGTCCCACATGGCGCGCAGACCTCTCCTGCCGCCCGCTGCTCACCCTCAGCAGTGTACTTCGGTCCTTCTGCCTGCTCTGCTCCCCGCTCTGGCTCTGGTGAATTCTCTCACCCTCCCGCGCTTCTGACTGTACCCAGTGCATGTATAAACAAACAAATAAATAAATAAATAAATAAATAAAACATGCCTCTATAAAAAATAAATAAAAATAAGATATTGAAAAAAAAAAAAGATAAAAGCTGCCACTGTCACCTCCCCATGGGTCTCACCCACATCTGTGCCACCCAGTCCACGACCATAAGACAAGCGCAGTTTCTTCACGTGTCTCTAGGCTCCATGCGCCTCCTCCAGGTCTGCTGGCTCCATCCTGCTTCCTTCCTCAGTCTCTTCTGCGGCTTCTCCTCTTCCTGCTCAGCTCCACCCTCCCTTGGGTGGGGCAGGGAACCTCGAACTTCCCCCTTTCCTGGGGACCACTGTTACAATAGTGGCGGCCATTTTCTTGATTTGTTACTTTATGTCTATCCTTTCTCAGACTTCCTGGCCCCTTTCATAACCTCCTTGCTGTTCCCTGACTGTAGGTGCCTTGACTTGTGGCAAATTTTCAGTAAACCTGCCTGTTCTTCTCCTCACTTTGCCTCTGGTGAATCCTCCTCGCCACCCACTCCAACACACACCTCTGGCCTATAGCTGTTTTTCTACGCAAAAAAATAAAAAGTGAAAAAAGAATTATGAATACAAATTTCTTTGGGAGTAAGGGTTGAAAATATACTTTTTTTTTTTTAAAGAAGGCCCGTTTATTTTTTTTATTTATTATTTTTTAAACATGTATTTATTTATACAAGCACTGGGTACAGTCAGAAGCGCGGGAGGGTGAGAGAATTCACCAGAGCCAGAGCGGGGAGCAGAGCAGACAGAAGGACCGAAGTACACTGCTGAGGGGAGCAGCGGGCGGCAGGAGGGGTCTGCGCGCCATGTGGGACCCTCCTCCGGTGGCCGGGGAGCAGCCGGGGATCGAACCAGTGCTGCAGAGGCTGCGGGCAGCTTCGCAACCCAGCGCTCAACCGCTGCGCCACCGGGGAGGCCCAAGGGTTGAAAATATTCTTAAATTAGATTGTGGTGATGCTTAAGCAACCCCATTAATACACCAAACACACATTGAACTGCACACTTTAAATGGGTAAATTGCAGGGTATATGAATTACATCTAATAAAGATGTTTCAAAGAAAAGGACACAGATGCCATGTTTCAGTGAGCAAGCAGAGGAGAAACCAGAATCCCAGTCCTTTACTTATTGTGCCAATTACTGATTATTTTTCATGCCTCAGTCTCCTCATCTGTTAGATGAAGATATTGGACTAGATCATCTCTGTGATTCCTATATTAACTTCCTGGGGCTGCTGAAGCAAAATACTACCAATATTGTGGTTTCAAGTAACAAAAATATATTCTCTCACAGTTCTGGAGGTAAGAAGTCCCAAACCAAGGTATTGTCAACATCCTGCTCCCTCCAGAGGCTCTAGGGGAGAATCCAGTCCTTACCTTTTTCAGCTTGTGGTGGCTGGGCTCATTCCTTGGCTGAAGGACACGTCTCTCTCTGCTCCCTCATGTGCCCTCTGCTCTGTGTGTCTATCTCTCTGAAAAGCCCCTCTAATCTCTCTCGTAAGGATACCACTCATTGTATTTGGGACCTGCTCAGACAATCTAGGATAACCTTCCCTCTCAGGATCCATAATCACATCTTTTGCCATAGAAGGTAACATCCACATGGTCCAGGAAACTAACTGATATGGGGGGGGGGGAGAAATGTTCATTTACAGATCTTTGCAAGTTTGTAGGAGAATTGGAACAACTTAAAAATTGAACTGCATTATCTTCTTCATATACCCCCTCTTCATTTCCCTCTCCTTCCATCCTGGTTCCACTTAAAATAATTTAAATTTGTTTGAAAAATTATTATGCACTCATCAGCCCATTTCATCCCCACAAAAACCTATACATTTTGTATCATTATAATTCCATTTCTGACGAGTAAATGGAGACTTGGAGAGATTTAATGACTTAACCAAGGTCACAAGCACTTAAAAGGGCAAGTGCTGACCTCCAATCCAAGTTGTTAAGCACTAAATTTTATGGCTCTTATTCTGCCATCGCCTGCCTGAATCTTGGTACTGCATCAATAGGTTCCAGACCCAAATGGAGTGGACACACTTGGAATTAATTCAGTTCTCTTTCTTCCATTAAGCACAGCTAAGAGCCCTGGACTTTTTATATAAAATGAACATAAGAATACTCTGAAAGTGGGGAGAAGAAGGCAGATTGACTAGGGACCTCGGAACCCAGGGGTTAGCATGACAGTGCATTCCTTGGATTTTCTTTTTGCCTCATATATCTTGGACTAGGTGCTGGACCTGCAATCCAGAGATGCCAACAGGCACAAAGTCCCAAGAAAATTCTGCTTATTCTCTAATCAAAGGACTAGAGATAAGCAACTCAACATGACAGAACATGTTTAGATATTGCCCTACCTTAGCCAAACACCATGGGAAAAAAATCAAGTACCCACGCCCTGCTCCCTCAGCAAAGCCCTTCCCCAGCCGTAATGATGTACCCCTCCTCACTCCCCAGCTCTGCCTGGAGGTAATGAGCTCCCCATCCAGAGGTAAAAAAAAAAGTCCCTCCCCCTCCCTACCAGGCTGGAGTCAGAGGAGGCCACCTGGGGAATCTGAAATCCCACATCCAAACAGCTGTGAGGAAGTGCATCTCTCTTTCACCCTGAATTGTCAAAGGAGGTTGAGTGGAGAACCTGGATCTTCACCCCTGCCTGGCATTAGTGAGGCAACACCTACCACTGCCATCTGGCACCACGTCAGAGGACTCCTGCTAAAACAGAATATTTAAACAAGACCCAGGGACTCAAAACCACCAAAATACCCAGTATGTAATCAAAATCACACTTTGTACAAAGAACCAGGAGAATCTCAAACTTAAAAGACAATCTGCAGAAGCCAACACTAAGTTGATGTAGATATTGGAATTATCGGGCAGGAATTTTAAAGTCATAAAAATGTTTCGACAAGCTATTACAAATACACTTGACACAAATTTAAAATTAGAAATCTCAGTGAAGAAATTGAAGAGATCAAGAAAGAAGAACCAAATGGAAATTTTAGAACTGAAAAATATAATTACCAAAATATTTAGCTGAGGAAAGAATCATAGAACTTGACATTTTAAATGACCCAACAGTCATTACATGAGTAAATAAACACAAGACTTTCCTTTTCCTCTTGTGCCATCTAAATTGTTTGACAGTTGAAGCAAAAAATATAACATTTTCTGAATTTCAAGGATACAGGGGAAATATTCAATAAAATTACATTATAAATGGAAGAGAGTGAAGAGACTTTATTATACAGGGAGGAAGTAAGTTCTATTTTATCCAACTGAGAGAATATAGGCAGCAGTAAATCTTCATGGTAACGAAATTGTTTTGTATCTTGATTTCAGTGCTTTCAAGAATCTACATGTATCATAAAATGGCACAGAACTATGCATACGCACATTTGTACCAATGTCCACTTACTGGTTTGATTTTCTTATAACGGCACGAGATTGACTGTTGGGGGACTGAGTAAAGGGACACAGAGCCTCTCTATATTTTCACTGCGACTTTCTGTATATCTAAAAATACATCAGAAGGAAAAGGTAACGCTGTCAAATGACGTCACAATGCCTCACCTCAGAAGCCCCTCCCACTGCCCAGAGGCCTGCCCCCGGGCGTCACCTCAGGACGTGTCTGCTTCCCGAGCAGCTGGTCAACTTTTCTGAGCAAACAACTCCGTCTGCTCAGTTACTAACAACAGAAAATGGCGCCCGTGGAGCAACAGGATCTGTAGATGTGTGGCCGCAGCTGTCCGCAGCCTCCTGGGATAGAACGAGGAGCAAGCCCAGTTTTCTTGTTTTGCTGGTTGAGTGGGCAGTCTGCTTATACCACATATCTTGGCTGTCTTTGAGAAGCCGATGTCGTCCCCACAATTTCCAGTCTTCTTATGGGATAAGGGTACGCTCCTCACTGTCACAGATGACCATGCATACCTAGTAAAAGTTCTCTTCTTCTTTGTACTCCTGATGACTCTCGTCACCCTACTCATCCTGGCCTGGAAATTAGGCAAAGACAAAGGCAACAAGATCCGAGAACCAGATTTAAGAAAGGAGGCAAAGCAGCTGGCATGAAGATCTACCCCTCTTGGTGGAGACTTTGTTGAGGTGAAGACCTGGAGGCCCAAGAGGTAGGGCCAGCGTCCACCTGTCTTAGCCCCTGGAGCCTGGGAAGGAAGGGCTGCCTCAGCCACCCCTTCCCCCAATGCCAGTGACTTGCCCACGCGGCCTTGTCCGCCTCCACTGCCTCCTTGATAATTCACACTTCGGCAGCTTGTCTAGGCTCTCGAGTTTGAATGTCTTCTCTCTGTGGATCTTCTAGACTGAAATTATAAATAGCTCTTGATTTCTGCATTAATAGAAGAAACAAACACATGGAGAATTAAAAAGTGATTACAAATTCAAATTTTCCATTTTAAAGGACATTGAAATCATGAGGGGTTCACAGCACCTCAAACTATATAATAAAGCTGTACTGAAGCTCAGAAGATCCTTGAATCAGCCCACTCTGGCTTGAAATCTAGGTAAAATTCTCTTTCCTTTTCATTTAATCTGGAAATAAAGAATATTTCTCCTCAAATAAATGATCTGAAGTACCGCATATTTTTCTCACCCCCTTCCCCCCCCCATCCTTCAACTTTGTGGGTTGGCAAAAATTGAAAATACCATTTTCAAAATAATTTTTTAAATCTTTTCTGAGTTTGGAACAAGTTAACTTTCTTTTCCAATGAAATTCAAGTTGCAGAGGCAGTGTTTTGAGAATCTATACTCTCATCTGATTAGATGTGCATTCCTCTAATGAAAATTTGATTGTTTGCCTCGAAGGAATTGGTATTTTTCTAGGAGAAAAACCTCTGTACCCAACTTTCCTTCCAGAAGCATCTAATCAACTGTCCTCTTCTCTGCAGAGACATGCACTTGAATGTGGAGTCTCAAGCCAAGAGTTCCTCCATCCAGAGCCATTTCCATTGCTTACAGTCAGGGGACTGTGTTCAGGGCTCCCTAAGAATTAGCCCCCTGGCATCTGGGTTGTGATCCCATATCCGCTGGCCACTTTTTCACTTTCACTCACAGAAATCAAGGAACTTGTTCAGTGGGTGCTGAGCAGTGGCCAGTATTGCTACTAGCACTAGGGGAGCCCACCCCAATAGGCTGGGGTTCCCGCCTACCTGATGATGGTGGTGGGATTTGGTTTTGTGGTTGTCCAGTTTCAGCAGAGATAGCTCACACACAGGCACCAGGCAATGGGAGAAAAAGCTTCATGACCACAAAAGACATCTCTCCCCCCACTGCAGAGTGGGTCCCTTTGTCAGAGGCTTGCCACTATTCCCTTGGAGCTGGCCTCATGGCCCTTCTCAGTCCCAGAACCCTGTTAGGAAGTAGGGGTGAGATGGGGTAGAGTGGGGGACAGTGGCATGTTGACATAAGTGAGCCTGACTTCCATGCTTCTCCTTGTTGAGGACAAGTCCCACATAAGTTCCGCATGCCTCAGCACTCCTCACAACCCCCAGATCTCTCCTATCCTGAAATGCCCCATTCACCCAAATTGAGCTCGGTGCCAAGGATACAAGAGAAAGGTGCTCCACTTCTCTCTCCTATACAATATCATCAGAGATGAATGTTAATGAAATAATCCCACAGATGAATGCTTAATTATAAACTGAGAAAAGTGCTCTGAAAAATAAGTCTGGCTCTTTGAGAGCATTTATCAAGGGAACCTGACCTAGACTAGAACTTACCTAAGGAGGTTTGGGCTGACAGCTGAGGAATGAGTAGAAGTTATGTGGGTGAGGGGTGGGGCAGAAAGACACAGCGTTCAGATGGAGATCAGCATCTGCCAAGGCTGTTTCTGGAGGTGGGTCTGAGGACCGAAAGTGAGCACCAGAAGGGATCACTGTGAGGCTGGAGGTGTAGGTGAGAGCAGACTTCACAAACCCCTGGAGGACAGTACTATAATAAGCAGAGATATGACTGTGCGAGGGGGTGGGGACAGTTCTCCCAGGTGTGTATTTTAACCTCCAGGGATGATTATTCCAGAATTCCCAGGGACTCTAGGTCATATTTATCCCAGTTTCGTCTAGCCCGAGGGTCTCCCCAAACTCCTTACACACCCCCCACAATCTTCTCAGTTTTACCCTCATTTGGAACTCCCTGACAAACCAGTCAGATTGCATAGCTAGTTTGTGGCCACCTGATGGCAGCAAAGGGTCCGCGACTTGCTCCCCTTGGAGTCCGCCAGGCGGAGAGCTCCTCCCCTCAAACTGCCAGGTCGGTATGTAGCCACGAGGGGCTGTGATCAAGTCGCCCACGGTGATGCACGTCTCTTATCCAGATTGCCTGGGCGGAAAATTTATAATTTTTAAATTATATTTGTAACAGTTTAATTTCATTATGTGATATTTATTGATCATTAATTATATGTGAGTTCTTAATATAGTGTCTCTATTCTGCCTGATACCCTCTCCCTCCTACAGACGGGAAGGTGAGGCTCAAAGGCTCAGAGAGACTGATCCTCTGCCCTGAGTCTCACAGGACAGCCAATCCTCTTCCTTCTCCCGTCCACCTCCTACATCGCTGTGGAGTAAGCCCTCCCCTGCTTGGAGGCAGCTCTTCCTTCCATCAGAAGTCTCTGTGCTCCACTATGACATTAGCATAAGCATCTTTGCTCTCTTAAGATGGTCCCTGCCTCTTCCTCTGTCCCCAGCACCTTCCTACAGGTCAGTTTGTGCCCAGGTCCTACAGTATTGGGATTAAGCTAGTAAGTACCAACCACAATAACGCATCCAGGAGGTATTCAGTACCAGAGGGAGAAGGCAGTGAAGAGGAGTAAAACACTGCTCCGTCCTTCCTTTCTTTTTTTTTTAAAGATTTCTTTATTTATGCATACAAGAACTGGGGTACAGACCAGAGGTGCGGGGTGAGAGGATTCACTAGAGACAGAATGGGGAGCAGAACAGGCAGATTGACTGAAATACACTGCTGAGGGGAGCAGCGGGCAAGACAGGTCTGCTGTGCCATGTGGGCCACCTCCCTGGCCGGGGATTGAACTCATGTTGTGGTAGCTGGTGATGGCTTGATAGCACTATGTCTTTAATCCTTGTGCAATCAGGGAGGATCCTTCTCCTTCCTTTCAAGAGCTTCCAACCTACAAGTGGCTGAGGGCTTCCTTGGGCCAATAACAGTACCAGGTGTTTTCTGAGAAAAGCCAAGCATGGGATATTAATGGACTCCTCCAGACATTCTGAAGCCCAGCCTAGATCAATCAGGGTGGACTTCCTGGAGCAGGTGAAATGTTAAGGAAACAGGCAACCCGGACTTAAGAGTGGAAGGGAAAGCATGAGGCATGACAAGGAACAAAAAGCCAGCCACATGATGCAGGTTGGGAACAGTGGGAAATCAGATCGAGGAAATAGCACCAGCCAGCACTAAAGGGACTTGGATGCCATGAGGGTGTTTGATTTCAACCAAGAGGGAACTAAGACAAGGGGAGTGATGAGGTGAAATAAATATTCAAGATTAATCTGGCATACTAAATGTGTAGGTTAAACAGGAGCAGGGAGACATTAAATCAAGATATATGCCAAAATGCTTTCTAAAAGGCTTTCCCGGTATTTTCCTGTTTCCATGACTTTGCCCATTCTGTTCCTTGCACCTGAAATGCCCTTTTGTAAACCTTTCTTGGCTCAATCATTTTCTAAAGGTGAATAAGGAAGGAGAGATGAGGGAGGGCAGGAGTTCAGCAGTGGGAAGCTCACTGTCTCCCACCCTCCTAGCCCCGGGGGGGCTAAGTGGTTCAGTCAGGCAGAACCAGGTGAGTTGGGGGTCACAGTAGGGGGTGGGGTGAGACTCCTATTTTTCTTGGAAAGGTTTAGGGAACATGAAGCTATCTTCTCAAGAAGATGTGAGAACAGGAGAAACCAGGGGGCTTTCTCCACTCCTTGTAGATGCTCTCACTGTTCCAGCCCCTACTGCGGCTCATCTCCTGCAGATCCCTCAGGGGCAGCCACCCAGGGAGTCAAAGATGCTGCCCTTGCACAGAGCCATGAAGAGTGAGAGCCAGAGGGCCTTAGGTGACCAGACTCCCACTCTTGTTTTAGAGTGGACCCCAGAAGTGCAGAGAGGGAAAGAAGGGGAGGAGGGGATTGAGGGGCTTGTGGGGGCGTGGAATAATGCCTGAGTCTGTCTGTAAGGCCAGAGCAACAGCATGGAACCTGGGCCGCACTACACGCTAGCTGTGTGTCCATGGACAGATGAGGGAAAACAGTGGTTCTCAAAGTGTGGTCCTGGGATACCCAGAGTCACCAACACATGTTCAGGGCATCTGTATAGGTGGAAATTATTTTCATAAAAACATGAAGATATGTCTTTTTCTTTTACACTCTCATTCTCTCATGAGTATACAATGGAGTTCTTGGGACTTGACATGTGTTTTCGAACAAGTCAAGTGTTATAGAAATTTGCAAAAATGTTAAAAAATGCCTTTCCTTGGCACGTATTAAAAAAACTAGCAACAACAAATGGTGGTGAGGATGTGGAGAAAAAGGAACTCTCCTGCACTGCTGCTGGGAGTGCAAACTGGTCCAACCACTATGGAAAGCTGTCTGGAGATTCCTCAACCTGCTAAAGATGGAGCTTCCATATGATCCAGCAATTCTCCTTCTAGGTATTTACCCAAAGGACACAGAAACATTAATTCCAAAGGGCACCTGCACCCCTATGTTTATAGCAGCACTATTTACAATAGCTAAGCTTTGGAAACAGCCCAAATGCCCAAAAATAGATGACTGGATCAAGAAGATGTGGTACAGGGCCTCCCTGGTGGCGCAGCGGTTGAGCGCTGGGTTGCGAAGCTGCCCGCAGCCTCTGCAGTGCCGGTTCGATCCCCGGCTGCTCCCCGGCCACCGGAGGAGGGTCCCACATGGCGTGCAGACCTCTCCTGCCGCCCGCTGCTCCCCTCAGCAGTGTACTTCGGTCCTTCTGCCTGCTCTGCTCCCCGCTCTGGCTCTGGTGAATTCTCTCACCCTCCTGCACTTCTGACTGTACCCAGTGCTTGTATAAATAAATAAATAAATCTTTAAAAAAATTATGAAAAAAAAAAAAAAAGAAGATGTGGTACATATACACCGTGGAATATTACTCAGCAATCAAAAAAGATAAACTCATGCAATTTGCAGCAACATGGAGGGAGCTGGAAGGGATCATGCTTAGCAAAATAAGCCAGAAAGAAAAAGAAAAATACCAGATGGTCTCACTCATAGCAGGAATTTAGAAAACCTAAATAAGGGACCAGGAAAAAACCTAATTCTCATAAAGTAAAAATCAAAATCAACAAGCAACTATAAACCAGAGACACACTACAGGGGGGTGGGGGAAGGAGGGAGTGGGATCAAAACAAGGGGTTGGGAATTGTATGAGGACTATAACCAAGATGAAAATGCATACATTGTGCAAAAATGAAAAATGATGTAAAAAATGTATAAAATAAAATTTATAAAAAGAACAAGAACAATGAGAAAAAATGCCATTCTTTTCTCTAAATATTTATGTTAATGTATAAGTCTGATATTGTTATCTCTGTATGAATTAATAAGTACCTTTTAAAATTTGGTGTTTATTTTTATTGATAATATGGTAAATATGGATAAATGTAGTCCACTTACACCAAAGCCCTTTTGGGTCCTTCATAATTTAAAGAGTATAAAGGGATGCTAAAACTAAAATGGCTGAGCACCACTGATTTCCCCCCACATCCCGGGGGTCCCTTGGTCCCTTTCTCTCCCTCTTAGTCTCAGAACCCTCAGGATGTTTATTAAAGTCCGCTAGCTTTTGAAAATGTTTTATGTTATTGAATTGCTGGTAAAATCTCCAGTATTTATTTTTATCATTCTGACTTTGCTTCACATAAGAGAACCATTGGTTTAAACTCTCAAGCCTTCATTCATTGTCTGCAAAATGGGCATATTTCTCTTTTCACAGATTTAAAAAGGGTGCCTCAGATCAAATGTAAGATGCCTACTCATCGTTTCATAGTAAATTAGGGGCTGAACTAAGCTCAAGTATGGTATTTTTTTAATTTTTTTTTTTTTTTTATAGAGGCATGTTTTTATTTATTTATTTGTTTGTTTGTTCGTTCGTTTTGTTTATACATGCACTGGGTACAGTCAGAAGCGCGGGAGGGTGAGAGAATTCACCAGAGCCAGAGCGGGGAGCAGAGCAGGCAGAAGGACCGAAGTACACTGCTGAGGGGAGCAGCGGGCGGCAGGAGAGGTCTGCGCGCCATGTGGGACCCTCCTCCGGTGGCCGGGGAGCAGCCGGGGATCGAACCGGCGCCGCAGAGGTCGCCGGCAGCTTTGCTACCCAGCGCTCAACCGCTGCGCCACCGGGGAGGCCCTCAAGTATGGTATTTTTTGAGTCAGCACTTCCTCCAACATCATCTCAGCTGTTCTTGCCATTCTAGGGCTCAGAAGGCCAAGAGTCTGGGGTGTGGGGACCAAAACATCATAGGGTCGGAAATGGTATACCACAGAAAGCCACAGTCTGCATGCACAAAGTTCCCATCTGTGCCTGGGCCGACACCTATATCAAGGTCCCACTACAATGAGTGACAATCCTACCTTGCCATGTGCCACTGTCAGGTGTTGGTACCAGGTGAGAGCTCGCAGATGTTTGTGCATCTGCAATTCATGACTTTGACCACGTGAGGGCAGCCTGCCCCTGCAGGTAGAACAGCATAGAGGATTCCCCACACAAAAAAGTCACTTCGAAGAGTGTCTCTTTGAAGCCTGTGTTTTAGGATCTGTAATGAGTTACAATCATGAGTAATAGTGCAGCCCACCCAAAATCAGGGATGATAAACCAAAGATACAGGACACAACTCTCAAGCGTCCTAGCTGTCTGTTTTCCTTCATGTAAGAAATTTCAATATTGTATTACCTCTCCAGGCACCTTTTAATCATTGCTGCCTCCAAACCCAGTGAATCTGTCTTAATTCTAAGGAAAGCAAACATTGCAAGCAGTCAGACGATAGATGCCTAGACCCACTCAGCCACAAATTCTCTTTATAAGTGAGCCTGTTTCCTCATCTGTAAAGTGGGGGAAACACCCACCTCACCGGATTTGAGGGCCCTTTAAGAATTATTATCATAGTCAGGAAAAAATGAACCAAAAGGTAAATCCTTTGGTATATAGGATTATGTGTGTGTATATGTGTAGATCATTTTTAATATATGCAGAAAGTGTATATGGTTCAGCAAGAGCAGTGATTGAGCTCGATCAAGTACTTTGGAGTTTGTGGTCCCCTGACTTAAAGTGTGGTCCGAATGATATGACTAGAATACAAACATATCAGTGTTACCTGGACAAGAACGTATTATCCAGTTAATAATAATTCACGCCTATATAACACTTTACAGCTTACAAAGTGGTCCTGCCCACGTCACCCCTGACTCCTCCTGAGAACAGAGAGGGAGCTGGTCATCAGTCACAGTTAAGAAAGCCGGCCACGTAGAGTGAAGTGCCCCCCTCCTCTCCTGTCCGCCGGGGCCCAGACAGACCCCTAGTGGCAGGCTTGCGCTCATCCATGTGTGTCCCAGAAGACTGGATGCTGCCTCAGCCTCCAAAGGCTTTGCTAGCCTCCATGTCAGCCAGAATGGGGGAGCCGAGGTGCCTCCTGGGCCCTGGTAAATGCTTGCCTTTTTCTTGTCCCACCTGATGGGCAACCAATCTTTCTCTGCAGGAGCTCCATCCACCTCTGGAGCCCAGCTCCTCTGGCCACAAGCCCAAAACCTTTGGGGCAAAATGTCCTCATCCACTGTGCAGAGTGAGCACTATGCAGAGTGAGCAGGGCGCATGGGGAGGTGGCACCCACCTGGGTCAGCGGCAGAAGCTGAGAATTTGAGCTGCTGCTGCTGCGGATGTCTCAATAGGACCCTAAGGCAGCCTCATTCATAAAAGGATCTGCGTATTCCAGAAAGACCTCCTGGCAGACCCAGGCAAAAGAAGGCCCTGGACTGTCAAACCCTCTGCCCGAAGGAAAGCTTTACTTGATCTCCCCCATTGTCTAGCCCTGAATCGCACATTTAAATTCATCAACATGTATTTCAGCCAATTGCTTCTACTCTTAATCTTCACCTTTTCCACCTTAATCTTAATCCATAGATAGATTTGGGGGGTCTGAGAAGTGCATGGGGTGGGGATACATATTCAATAACCTCTAAGTGAATTTTGTATTTGTCTACTACAAGCCCCAGTATTATTAGCAATAGCTGTGCTTTTGTCACTAATAGAAATCAAGGTGCTTTCACATTAGTTGCTGCAAGTTTCTTTAAATTTACACTCATCACATCTTGGAAATTATGGTAGTTATTAGCTCTGCCACAAATCAGGTTATTGAATGCATTGTTAAAGAAGGTGGTAGATTACTATGTCACAAATTTGGTTTTTTGAGTCTTTCAATAACTGTATTTCAGTGAAATTGGTTTCCTCTGTAATTGTATGTACTTTATGCATTTGGAGACACTGTGATGGGTAGCAGATGGGTGTCAGCAACCTGCCAGTGGGGTTCTGAGCTCAGAGGATGGGGGCCCCACCCAAAATGCTCCTCCTGAAGTTGGCCCGCTGCCTGTTACTGTCCAATCCAGCTCTCCGGGGGACAGAAGGACAGTGCAGACAGGGCTGGAGGGGAAGCACGCAACACTTAAGTCCCTCCAAGTGCCAAGACTTGCCATCTCATTGAATTCTCACAAGTATTCAGAGATCAACAAATTGTGCATATTTTAAAGAGAAAGAAACGAAAGCTCACAAAAGAAGTGAGAAACAGCCTACCCTGCTCCTGGGAGGTCAAAGTCACATTCTGCAGTGGGCCCCCATCCCCCAGCCAGCTGTGTGCCTGGGGGCCAAAAATCTCAGAGTCCTCCACAGTGAAGATAAAGCCCTATTCCAGGGCGGATCAATGAAAAACTGTGTAAAGAGCTCAGCATGGTGGCTGGGCCGCCTATCAAGTGCCTGTCACTCTGTAGGCGGTATTTGTCTTTAGTGGTGTTAGAAAGCAGGGACTCTAGGCTCTCTCCCCCATCCATCTCCTCTCATCAGAGAGGATCAAGAATTCTGTTTGTTTTCTTTCTTTCTCTGCAGCCATGACTTCTCAGAGGCCAAGTGGACCTCCTCTTCCTCCTCCCCAGCAAGTAACTCAGGCTGAAAAGATGGACGAGTGAGTCTGGCCTGGAAGCCAGGCAGCGCAGAGCAACCCTGGGTTCCCTGGTGGAGTCCCCTGTGGGAGCAGGTGGGGGGGAGGGCGCGGAGTGGTGGGGGGCGGGTGGTAGGGGGGTGGTGGTGGGGTGGTGGGGTGGGGTGGAGTAGGGTGGGGGGCAGGCTGGGGGTGGGGTGGGGTGGTCGGGCGCTTGCGCCTGCCATGTGCCAGCTCATGAGTGTCATTTATTTTCTTGCATGTCGGTGGGGGGGGAGGTAGCGGTGGTCTCACAAGCTGTACCTGACAGATAATTACACAAAGACAAATTGTGCGCGGCCTTATCCTTCTGGTATGGCAACCTCCAGACTCCGTGCTGGGGCATGTGGAGGAGGGGCATGGAACACCGGAGCAGGAGGTGCTGGACCCGCTGACCCATTACTCACCCGCAATCTGGGGTGGACAGTGGAGCCAGGAAGAACTGGGGTGGCTCTGACCGGAGAGTGGGACACTTTTCTGACCTGGGTGGTGACTCCCTAAGAGACGCAGGGAGAGTCGGTGCCCTCTGAGTGCCTGGTCCAAAGCAGATGGTTCTAACAGGCCAGAAATCAGAACCCAGGGCTGCGCTGACCAGATCGGGGCTTCTCTGCTGCGCCCCCTGGAGGAAGAGCCGCGCAGAGCCAGAGGGGTCGCTCTGCGAGCCAAAGGGGATTCCAGCTTCTCCTAGGGGTTTCTCCTCATCTCCCAAATCCCTGTTCATACTCTCCCCACTGTCATCTCCCCATTCCTTCCCCTTCTAGTAAAACCTTTGCGATTGCATGACAGGGTGTTTCCTTAATGTTCCCGGGAGAAAACGTGGAAGACAATGTATGCAGCCCACAAGCCTCCTACATTTTTTAAAATTAAAATGGTGGTGATTTTCACCATAATCTCGAATTTATAATTATTTTATGTTGACCAGCATGGAAGCTAATAATAATAAATCAAAGCTGTAAATTTACTAAGCTTTTTTTGGTTTTCTAGGAAAGAAAAACAGACTGCTCGAGCCAGGGATGCTAAGACTTTAGCTTTAAATCCTGCTAAAGCTGAGAGCCTTGACTCCCTCATCAATAAAGTGGAAAAAATAGTATCTTCCTCAGAGGGTTCTTGCTTGGTGCAAGGCATGCTGCTTCCTTCAGTTATTTATTCATGGAGCATCTACTGAGCAACAACGCAGTGCCTGGCTCTGGGCATGACGAGGTTAGGTCTGTATCTTCAGGGAAGCAGAATCCAGTATGTGAGACCTTCTAGGCAGACCCAAAGCAGGGTGATTAGTTCCTCCACGGGCAGGGTTAGGGAGTGCTGCCCTGAAGAGGCTTTAGCGATCAGTCGATCAGTCCTTCTCTCTTGGGCCACACTCTTTAGCATAGAGCTTGGCCTCCTTGGTTCCTTAAAACAGATTGCTGCCTGCCACACTCCCTCTCCCGCCAGATCTATAGAGTGTCTCTGGGTGTGTTGCTCATCCTTTCCTCCAGCCTTTGCTGAACCTCCAGACGAGATTAGCTATTCCCCCACCCCCATACACTGACCTTTATCTCATAGTGAAATTGCCTGTGGTTGTCTCTGCACCCCCACCTACAGCCAGGCTGCCTTTCCTTCCCCAGCACCGCCCCACAAAGGCACAGAGCAGGCACACAACTGTCACCAAGGGGAGCTGGCCTCTCCTCCCCCATCAGGCTAGTCTGTCATTCTCCAGCTCTCCCTCCCCTTTCCACCCTCCTCTTTCATTTGGCTTCTGCTCACCCCCCCACCTCCCACTCTGCCTGCCTCCTCCCTGCTCCTTTGTTCTCTTTCATAAGATCTGTAACTGAGGAAGGTTCCTCCTTGTCAGGTCCATTCATTCTCCTCCTGCCACACTGCCATGCAGCCAGGGCGATTCTGTCTCCCTCAGCCCTGTGCTTCTCCACCTTCCCTTGTTCCTGCCCTCTGTCCCTAGGGCTGGAGCAGGGCTCTGGCAGGTGATCCCCAGTCTCCCCCCACCACCACCACCCCTACAAGCTTAGCAGTAATCACATTCCTGCACAAGTACACCCCTGTCTCCTACACTACCTCACCTGCACACACATCCCCCACCAACATATATGCTTGAGGTGGGAGGGGGTCCCAATGAGGCGCTACTTTTCCTTCCTTGAAAAAATTCAGGGGGTAGGGCCTCCCCTGGTGGCGCAGTGTTGAGCCGTTGAGCGCTGGGCTGCGAAGGTGCCCTCAGCCTCTGCAGAGCCGGTTCACGCACAGACCTCTCCTGCCGCGCCCGCTGCTCCCCTCAGCAGTGTACGTAGGTCCATCTGCCTGCTCTGCTCCCTGCTCTGGCTCTGGTGAATTCTCTCACCATCCCCACTTCTGACTGTACCCAATGCTTGTATACATAAATAAATAAATCTTTAAAAAAATGCAGGGGATACCTGAGTGTGAACCCATGACTTCTGGAGGGGGGACTCTACTACTGGACTGGAACTCTGTATAGCAAACCTCTGGAGTCAGGGTCCTCAGAGGACAATAGCAAGGGTCAGATTCCCCCAACACAGCCCTCCCTGCCCTCCAAGTCACATGTCCTCCAGGCTCTTGGGCCACAAGTCCCTGGTCAAGCCCTGGCCTGGCCACCT